CGTTCCTCCATTATAGTGACCAGAATGACGTTCAATTTAAACTAATCAGTTATGAAGCAGTGTAAACGAGTTCCAGACAAACCTTCCCGAGAGACATGCACATTACTCGGCCGGATGCAAGCCTCAGTTCCTGAGTTATTGAGCACCAAACAGAGGAATGAGAACAGCAATGAGAACAACAGTTTCAGTCATACTTTCATGTTCAAATAGCCTTTACGGCTTTTCCGTGCCTCCCTTGCTGTGGTTGTGGAAGAAAACATATTTATTCGGTGCCTCTTTTTGGAACGAAAATGCTCCAATTTCATTTCTCTATCGGAAATGAAATTGGAATATTTTTGGAATTTTTTTGGAAATGATCTGCAGTGGACTGTGACTTACACCCCTTCTTAGTCTAACGTCTCCAACGAAGACACATAAATCGTTGATTTTCTCTGACTAACCAGGTGACAGAGAAGTCGGGTTAAACAGAAACCAGCAAATGGACTTACTTCCATGAATGTCATGTTTTTCCACTCCTTGAACTTCTCTGAATCAGATATTTCAAGGGACGCATTCCACATTTGTTCTACCACAAATTTAATCTTCGCACAAGCTAAAAAAGAACAAACGTTATGGTGGGCCCCCAAAGGCTACGAAAAATAATAAATCTAAGGGTAACAACAAACTTCATTTCCATCGAATGAATAGTTCAATCAGCCAGACTTGTCATCATGTGTACGAAACAATTACACTTGATTTAATTTTGGTTGCTGAATCACATACAAAATGATACTTCTGAATCAAAATTCCGTGCCCTACCTTTCAGTAACCCTTTAATTCCCAGTATCTGATTGTTTTAAAATTCTCTCCTCTAGCTGCTACAAATATCCTTGTAAGCAAGGCATGAGAATTTGGTGTTGGATCAAGATAACAACTTCTACCTGATAAGTTTGATTTTTCTCATTAAATCATAGGGAAAAGTGTCACCTCAATCATTTCTGGTTGGAGGTTTAGTTATTGGGATGTACTCTGTCTAATATCGTAAGAAAGCTTCCCTCTATTATATTTCTTAGCTTGTTGTTCGTTTGTTTATTTGTTTGACAACTCTTCAAGTTTCAAATTGGTTTGCCATTGGCATAAAAAAGCGACGCAGAATTATGCATCACAGACAAGTAGGCCTAGAAACGATTGAAAGCATTAAGAAACAGACAAACATCTGCTCACTTGATTTCTTGGTTTTTGTAGGTTGTAGTACTTGTGATGACATGGGGGGCATAGTGGACGATGGAGTAGGCGCTGGCATTACAACAGTGGTCGAATTCTGTCCCAGGGCGTCTGCAAACCAAACATGAGATTTAAGGAGGATGAAGAGCGGAAGGGGGAGGAGGTCGAGGATACAGATAAGAACAAGAAGATGAAGATGAAGAAGAAGAAGAAGGAGAAGAAGAAGAGGAAGAAGAAAAATAATAATAAGACGAAGAATAAGAAGAAGAAGAATAAGAAGAAGAAGAGGAAAAAGAAGAAGAAGAAGAAGAAGAAGAGGAAGAAGAAGAAGAAGAAGAAGAAGAAGAAGAAGAGGAGGAGGAAGAAGAAGAATAAGAAGAAGAAGAAGAAGAAGAAGAAGAAGAGGAAGAAGAAGAATAAGAAGAAGAAGAAGAAGAAGAAGAAGAAAAAGAAGAAGAAGAAGAAGAAAAAGAGAAAAAAGAAGAAGAAAAAGAATTAATTATTCCCGTGCACAAGACCTGATTCTTTTTTAGAGACATGTGCTAAATATAAATACATTATATTGGAGACCAAAGGGGTTTAAAAGCTATACAGAATCGGAAAAAGATGCTTCAGTATCTGTAAACAGTCCGGTCTCAATCTTCAAACTTTCTAAGTTTTATCTCAATCTTCAAAATTGGTCAGTCGTTTGATTTTATTTCCCACGCAATTTCTAATTTTCAAGTTTTGTCCACGAAAGGTTTGGAATCGAATGATTATGGAATAGCGAGGTTTTAAAGAAGAACGAAAATAATCAGACTTAGTTCTCTTATTTACACGAAGGTACGTAACCAGAGATAATGTTTATCTTGAATTTATTCAATGACTCATCTGGTAACTGTTAGAATTTAGCGGAGAAGAATTTTAACCTATCAAGAAAGATTCTGGCTTTCCTAGAATTTTGACTACACTATTGTTTTTCCGAGGTCCGCCTTCAATGCTTCGTACATTAATAAATAAACAGTTATTATCATCGACGATTTTACACTCTCCGCGATTTAGGTCTTCATAATTTGGATATATCAACAAAGTTGAAATGGAAAATTAGCCACCGTAATGATTACAAAAGCTGACGTTTCGAGCGTTAGCCCTTCGTCGGAGCGAATAGAGGAATTGTGGGTTGTGTGTGCTTTTAAAGCCAGAAAATGGAGCTACGTTATTGGTGGGAGCATGGCAACGAGAAAAACATGAATAAATTAGTGGAATGAAAAGCTTTCGTTGATCCCTGTGGGATTTAGACTACCGGTTTGAAAGATGAGCTTTTGTTCAAGATTTTTACGGCTTTCCGTNACCAGAGAGGAGCTCACTCAATTCATAACCGCAGTCAATTATTTTCACCCGGCTCTGAAATATACTTGGGAAATTTCTGACAATTCTTTATCCTTTTTAGTCGTCAAAGTTTCAATTGAAACTTTGACGTCAAAAAAGACCGAGGGCCGATATTCTTCCAGTACGGTCCCGAGGAAGCTTGGTTAATAAGAGATTTATTGTACGATTGAAGTTCAAAAGGACACAAGTGCGGTATCATTCGGGACCATTCGGGACAGTGCCCGGTCCAATACTGAGAGAATATTGACCGGCAATAGAGCATTTTGATTGGTTGATTTTAGTTATTGGCCCTCTGACTGCCCGAGTCGTGTAATAAGAGGAATTACTTGCAAAATGATATAATAGTTTGGTAGAGAGAGAGAAACGTAATAATAAATATTTGCCTGAAACAAAAGGGGTTGAAGAAGATTATCATCTTTTGCTAAATATGACCATAAAATTACTGAGTGTGGTCTAACTCTTCAAATGAAATGGTCACAAAACCGTTAGACACGTACAGTTCTTTTACTGAACTTCATTATGAAAAGCTAGTGAGGTTACAAGTCGTAGCCCCAGATAACCGGGAGAAATTAGCACTACAAAAGCAGATAAGTGATTGCCAAAGACGACAGAAATGATGAAAGCATATATGCTGGAAGTGCTGTCGTAAAAAGATATCGTTAACTTGGAGACGATTTTAAGTGTCCGTTCGGTTTTCTGTCGCAGTTTGATTTTTTTCATTTTTCTTAAGCATCACAGACAAGTTGTCCCAGAATGAATGAAAGCATTGAGAAACTGACAATCAACTGCTTACTTGGTTTCATTGTGGTCGGTGTGGTTTCCCCTTTTTGCGTGGTACCTTTCGTTGGCATGGTGACGATAGTTACGCTTTGTGTAGATTGTAGTACTTGTGATGACATGGGCGCCACAGTGGACGATGGAGTAGGTGTTGGCATCACAGCAGTGGTCGAATTCTGTCCCAGAGCGTCTGCAAACCAAACGTGAGACTTAAGGAGGACGAAGAGCGGAAGGGGGAGGAGGTCCAGGATACAGATAAGAACAAGAAGAAAAAGGAGAACAACAACAACAACAACAACAACAAGAGGAACAAGAAGAAGTTGTTTGCGTGTACAAGACCTTGGAACAGCGAGTTTTTGAAACAAGTACAAAAATATCTAGTGTAGTCCTCTTGTTTACTCGAAAGGTACATAACTCAAGGAAATGTTAATCTGAAAATTATTCCATGAGTCATTTGGTAACTTTTGGAATTCAACGGAGAGGAAATTTAACAAATCAAGAAAGATTCTGGCATTCCTAGACTTTGGACTAGACTAATGATTTTCCAAGTCTCGCCTTCGATTCACCGTGCATCAGTAAATAAACAATTAGCATCAAAGACGATTTTGCACTTTCCGCGATTAAAATCTCCATAGCTTTCCACCATTAGTCCACATAAAATGCAATATCAATCTAAGATGTAACACGTGCGTGCGTGTCTTGAGAGTTTCACGAAAGTCCTTTTCGAGATATGAGGAATCACTTAAAGACTGGTATAGTGGTTTGGTAGGGAGAGGGGAACGCAATAAGAAATATTAGGCCTAAGACGAATGAAGTTGAGGAAGATTATATCATCATTTGCTAAATATGACCATGAAGCTACTAGGTGTGGTCTGAATCTTTAAATGGAATCTTTTAAAAAAAAAAACCGTCATACAGTATGAAAAGCTAGTGAGGCTGAAAGTCGTTGCCTCCAGATACACGGGAAAATTAGGACTTCAAAGCAGATTAGTCGTTGCCAAAGACGACAGAAATGATGTGATGGTATGATAAAAGCATATTCAGAGCAGCAATATGCTGGAAATGCTGTTGTAAAACAGTCATCTTTAACCTGGAGACGATTTTCAAGTTTCCTTTCGGTTTTCTGTCGCATTTTCGCTCCTCGGGGAGCAGAGTAGGCAGGCTGTATACAAAGTAAACATACGATACTTTTAAGAATTAAAATGCAACAAAGCTAACCTGAAATAAAGAACGCCAGCAGAACAAGTGCAGTTGTCCGTAAGAAATACATGCTTCACTTCTCAAGAATTTTCTGAACATAAAAAAGTGAAACAGATTTTAAACTGCTGCAGGTGCACGAGCACACTGTTTTTTAACGCCGAGGACAAAGGCTGAATTTTTTTGCCTCACCCCATAGCAATGTTTTTTTTGTTTTTTTTTTTCTGTTTTGACGTTTCTATGTATTTAAGGTTCACCACTGGCATTGCTAAATTTTCTAGTCATGTGCTAAAGGCTTAAAAGTGTCACCAAAAAGTCAATATTTGGAAAGAAAGCATCCACGGATTTTATCTTTGGCCAATGCAAAGCGAATCCCTTGGCCCACTCAGCAAATTGCGCGATGCAAACATAAACAGATGGTCATCTTAATGTCATGATCTTCCTTGACCTAAACTTTCACGCGCACAGAACATTTACGTTTGGACTACTATGTAAACAAGAGAACATTGACAATTAACAACGTAGTATTCGACAACTACTGCATGTGTGTTGTTTAAAGAAACTGTACTCTTCGAGATTGACATTTAAGGTACGTTTTTTTTTTTACTTTGGAATTTCTTATAAATTTCAATGAACACACAAATTAATGGAATTTGTGGAAATATATCAAAACAAATTGATAACGCAAAAATGAATTTGGGTGATAATGGACAGAGATTAATATGGATTATGAATGGGTAAGTACGGTCCAAAAAACTTATAGGTTTTTCGAAATGCTTTGTCAAGCTATAACTTAATTTAACGTTAGCTACAGGTACTTGGTATTTTGGCTTTTTTGCGGATAACAGTAACCATTTGTGAGCCGTTCTCTGAAACTCTACAAAAATCATTCATGCAAATAAATTGAAATTAGTTATGACAAATTATAATTACAATTTGACGAGACTTTTCCGTTCTACGCTCAAATTACTTTAATGATCTTACTCATTCAAGAAACGTAATTGATACTAAATAATGTGAAGCTTTTTGCGCAAAAAACCTGTCTAAGATGACTTTTTGTTTAGCTGGGCCCTTTTCCATGTACGCTTCAATTGACGTCATGACATTTTAGGGAACGATAATACTCCAATCCTGATGGAGGGGTAGCTATGAATACAAAGGATATATCGATATGTCAATCAGTTAATTCTGAGTCAATCAGTCTCAGCAAATTGCTTTGCTAAACTAATAGTAATTTTAAGTTATCCGACACCGTCTCATCATCAAAGACAAAAAGAAAGATGCACATTTTATAAATGATCTCGAGCACTGACTCCAAATGATTTTCACTGTTATAAATACGTAAGATGATATGAGTACGGTTAAAACCACTTATCAACAATCACGTCTCAGAAATTATAACTTTCTTGCTGACATCAATGCAGCTTGCCAACTCGACCAAATAAATGGACATTGAACACCTGCCGAGTTTGAGGATATCAATTCCAAAGCCGAAGGAACATTTAGCTTTTTTCTCTCTTAAACATTGACTATGTTCTCGGATAAAATACAAATCCAAAACGAGTGCTGTACTCTTTATGTTTCTTGTCTGTTAAAATCAAGAGCGGAAAACTGGAAATCGTCCAGATTTCTCATCAATAAAGAACTCGCTGTCGAAGACGAAATAAAAAAAAAAAAAAGGGCCGCAAAAGGTTCTAGATTGTATTTTTTGTTTATTTTTTATTGAGTAAAAGCTAAATTAATGAAGCAAAGGACCAAACCTGTCTACAACTGTTTCAATGGCTTGCTTCACATCAATTTCTGATGACACCCGAAGACGAAAAAAAAAAAAAAAAAAAAGGGCCGCAAAAGGGCCGCCCACCAGACCGTTGTAAAAAAGAAATTTTATCTTCTATAGGCGAAACCGCTTTCATATAAAATTCATCCAGGTAAAAGAGAAAGCGATTCATGTCGTGGCATAAAAATATAGTTGTAGTTGCCACAATAAACATACCTTTTCTCTTTTCCAGCGTTGTGATGAAAGTCGATGTGAAATACAAAGAGGAGCTGACATGATGAGTTGAAATAAAAGCCATGTTAATTTTTAACTTTTGTTTTTACATGATCGAAGGCCTCCAATTTGAGTTTCTTTGAGATGCGCGACGAACAGATAGCTTTGAATTATATATCATCCCGTGAAACAGATCCGTTTCACTAGCAGCCTTCGCAATTTTGGTTTATTTGTAGCTATACTGGAAAGTAGGTAAAAGAAATATATTTGCAGTCATACCTTCACCACAGCGACAGAAATCAACACATTGCAGCTGTCGCTTGAGTAGCACTCCTCGGCAAGAAGGCTTGCACTTGCGAATTTGAGTGATCGCTCATTCGCTTAAACAACAGTTGGCTGGGCATGAACCAGAATTAGAATCGTATACCCAGGAGCTAAACTTGTATCCTAAAAAAGAAGAAGTAAACTTTTGAGTCAAGGCAAACTTCGCTTGCCTGCAAACAGAAACCATCTTTTCTTTAAATAATGTATTATAAAATCGCTCTTCCTTGTTAGTTCAAAGTATAATATAGCGGAGTCAATGTGCAAGGTAATAAACACTCCATCCTCGTTGTTCTGTTCGTTTCGTAACGTGGGTTATGTTATTATTGTGGTGAATCTTAAACCGTGTTGGTAGTTACTAATGTGCTCCAATTTAGCTAACCAGCTTTCCAAGATCAGTCGGTGAAAGTGTTTCGCCTTGTATAAACTGAAAAGTGTAGCTCAAGTGTCGATGGCATTGCCATGCATTTGTTGCTCAGTGATCACTTGCCGTTAGTCAGTCTTGTGTTAAGTAAGAAGCTAGTGGTTGGGAAATTTTATCTTTTTTAAGCGCTCTGTGTCTGTTGTTGGGTTCGTCCTTGTCAAAAGTTGGTAAATTTCAATTTCATAGATTGTAATCCGTTTGTGGGCGACGCGGATCAGTAGTGATCTCAGGATTGAAGGATCCGCGACATGATTTCGGACGCGATCTCAACAGCTACCGTAGTCTTGGGAAAAGATCGAAATGAGCTGTGGCGAAATAAAAGTGGAAACTTCTACCAAGACCTTATAAGCAGCATGTAAGCATGTAAAGGAATAAAAAAAACCGGAGTTGAATTACGCCACCTGGCCGTTCGCTACTTTTACCAAGCGATTACATGCCTCTTTAAAGCCATTCTGCACAGCCTGAGGCAGTCCCCTTGATACCTCGACAATCCAGCCTTTGCAATTATTTCATGACCCAATGGGAAAAGAAAACAAAAAACAAAGAGAAGTAAAAGAAAAAGGAATAAGAAATCGAGCTCACCAATCACGTTTTCCGCCAAAGCGACAGTTTTTCTATCCACTCTCAGTGTGCCGAGCTTCCCACCTTTGGTGATTCGTAGAAGTGTAATCAAAGGATCTGTCGAGTTTGAATGAGCAGCTCCAAAAACTAATCCGTAAAAATTAGTCCTTACTTTTCCATATCATTCGACAATTTCCAGGAGGAGGGATAATCATACCGCAGAAAGTCTGAGTGTACTTTGAAAGCAGCGAGGAGCTAGAAAGAAAAGTTGAAATGAGTTCGGCATTATGGTTTTTTTTTTTGTCATTTGGCTTGGCATCACGTATAAAATAGGCTCTAGAACAAACTGTATTGTCACGGTGGACTGACTGGCATTTGAATTTTTTCAAAACGGGAAAAACCCACGCCATCGATTTGTTAAAATCGACGGCGTGGGTCAATAAAGATCAAAAACCTATAATTACTGATTCAGAAGAACTGTACCTGTTTGACATGTAAAATATGTAAGTTATATGTTGCTGCTACTGTCAAATAAGTAAGTGTACCTCTTTTTTAATTCCAGACTTGTCCTGGTTCAGGGGACCACGGACTAAAGAATGTTGATCATTTTTGTATTCATGTTTCCAAGGATAATCAATAAATGTGACACTGATCTGAAACTTCCTCTCTGCAAAACAAAAGTAATGAATAGAACATTTTAGTCATTGAAATATTGTGAGAGAAGGATAACCATCGACCTAAGGTTCTCCTCTCAGTAACACTTTAACTAACTACAGACCACGGTTGTTCGAAGGTTGGACAGCGCCATCCACTGAATAAATCTCTACCCGGTGGATAGCGCAGTACGTTTTGCAATCAGTTATCCGCTGAATAGTGATTTATCCTAGGCCCTGGTGAACTTATGCATGTTAACTTTTAGAAATTTCAGAAGACGTTAATGATGAAAGCACTTCCACACAAAGGCCATAGCAACATCGGATGAAAACTCATCGTTGGCCAAATACCATATGCTTCACAATCACCAAATAGATTTGGAGACTGTTGAAATTGTTGACAGGTCATCTCTGTGGCGACAAAGACTAATTCTTGAAGCTTGACATTCCGTGCGAGATGGAAGCGCTATAAAAGAACACATAGCGCTACCAAACATCTTAAATAACATTAAGAATTTTTAGAGCCAACAAGAATACTCTTCAGACTATTGTTCTACTTTAAAAAAAATCCTTCGAGATTTAGTTTTATCACACATCGTGTACATCTACCAAGCAGGACACCATTAGACATTTGCGTTTTTTCATCGTTGCAAAGGCAGCCGTACTAGCCGAGACGTCAAGAACAGTATATTTTTAGCCAGTATCAGCTTTGAAAAAAAATTTTTAACATGCCTGGCGACACACCGAATATTTTCACTTTCACACTGATTTTAATAATTCTGTACTAAGCATGATTTTCCCTACGCATCACTATCATAAGCTACTATGACGACCAAACAAGAGAGGGTCTCTTTTCTGATGCGTTCATGCTCAAACTGAAACCCCTGACCAAGAAAGCGATGCATGGGCGAAGAAAGTGACCATGTGTTGAGACATCACCTTTGTTTTGCGCTTTGAATGCTGGGAATAAGTCCTTTAATATGAAAAAGTGCAAAACAACACATTTTCATGATGTGATGAACATTGGTTAAAGAAATTATTTCCCTTTTTAAATTAATTTTCTACTCATACAAATTAAAAGCTCATAAGTCAAGTTATTCTGGCATTGTGCAACGACCTCAGTAAAATGAATTCCATAGAAATTCAGCCTCACAATATTTCCCTCAAGAATGGATGTAATAAAAAATATATCCTACTGGGTTATAGCGAGTGTGCTGCTTCATTAAATAAGTGCAGATAGATCTCTCCAATATAATGAAAGGAATATCCCGGCAATTCACGATGTTCAAATTAAACAATTTCTGACGGTCTGATTTAAAATTTTTTTCTGACCAACATTAAGAGAAGGCACGTTTGACATACTTTATCTTGCTCTCCGAAATACGAGTTTGATAGTTATTTCATTACAAATTGTGATATGCCAGGCTCAGTGTCATTTACTTTTGGACAATAAATCCGCCGTTCCTTGATGGCCTGCATCTCACTCCCTTTGATAGATATTTTTGAATTGATAGAAACATTTATGATGACACAATTGCATCAACGCATCGGTGAACTGGGATTAGAAAAGTGGTGATATATGCTTACCCTAATTCTATAATTTCGCTTTTGCTAACCTCAGGTAGCTTCTACCAATTAGAACCGTTTCAAATTTTGCCAGGTAGATATGTAACATTGTTCACGGTAACATGAACTTCTTAATGATCTCTGATTTAGCTTCATTTCCTTGTTTTAATCGATAAGTAAAATGAAAAATCATCGCATCTTCATAACGGAGTAAAAATCTTTCCGCTTCTTGCTAGCTAAATTCCTCTGAATGGAATGACGAAAGGTAACTACTCACCAATCTGCTCGGAATGTTTCACCATGTAGGCTGTGAGAACGTACACTGTGACAGGAATGAAATGCATTTTCCCTCTAAGTCTTAGTCAGCAAAGTCGCTACGTTTCCATAACTAGAAACGGACTAAGTGAAACCTTGATCAAATGATAAATTAAGTTCACACTGACATCTCTTGAAATTTGCTTTTGATTGAACTGTGGACGATTGATGAACTGATGTGACCACTCACGTTGCTCTCCATTTTCAGTAAAATTTGTCCTTCCGGTACGTGATAGGAAAGAAAAAGTTAATGACAGACTTCCTCTTCAAAACATAATTGAAAAACAGGCGTACCAAGTGCAGTGGATATTACCGCGTTTCCCTAATTAGAAACAGCATAGCCAGGTGTTTGCGGCCAAAAGTGTTTCAAAATGAATGCACGGGCGAGAAACAAGAGGAACCGGCAGAGTACCCTGTGAAAGGAATGGCGGGTGTTATGACCCGAAATTATAACAACGCTAAGGAGTGAATGCTGTGTACCTGCTCATCGATACTAATATTGCTATTTGTTTTCTAAAACTTACGATACCTTTGAAGGCGCGCTCCGATTGACAATTCAAACTCCGAATATCCTTTGCTATTCACCTCCGCGCATTCGAGCACAGGATTTTATACTCAAGAACTGATCATATCAATGAAAGAATAGGAGGATACGAGAGTGAATGGGGGAACACTTGTTACCAACGCTGTCTAGTCAAGGAACACTTGCTGGCGTTTTCCCTTCGATACAACACCGAAAACGGCTAACAACAAGTGATGCAAGTTAACTTCTGTCAATATTCTGTTTTATTTATCTCAAATCCCAACTTTCCTGTGAAAGTTAAATCGATAAAAATATAAATTTGATTTTCTCACTTTTCAAAAGACAATATCTCTGCGGAATCATTAGATTTTCTTAGCGTTAAAATCACGAAACGCATCAAAGTATCCGATAATCTATGATAAAACAACGTTTCATTAACTCTTTACTTTACAAACATTTCGATTTAAAAAAGCTCACATCTTGAGCTGCAAATGAAATTTCCTCACAACGCCAAACTTTCATTTCTGTTTTACTTCATAACCAAGAATTTTTTCGTTATTGTGCTACTCGCCTTCAAAACCTTCGAACTTCTGAACGAATCTAGAATACAAACACTTCATGTATGATCGTACTTATCGTTCTAAAGCCTTCGACTCTCGAGGAAAGGAAACAGTTTTCCAAATCTTATCAATTCACTCGGGCAAAAAGGTAATATTTTTACATCGTTAACTACTCAGCGACCAGCGCTGTTTGTGGTCACTGGACCGTTGTCTATGTCCAGTTTCGCGTGATCTTCACTCGCAGTAAGAGCTACACGGTGGAAATCCGGTCTCCTTTAAGATGGGGCTCCGTCGCGCGTAGGAACCTTGCGCACTTGTCTGTGCACCCGAGGAGCGTTCACCTCCCACACCTCTCGACCCAGTGACACAACACCCTTATGGATTGGGTCCATATTGAGCATCAGTAGGAACTACAATCTTCGTCACCAATCCTTTCCCGGTTAAACGTAGGGTAGTTTTGTCCGTGTCACTGTCATGCGTTGGGGCTTGGGTTTGTGTTTTTTAGCTCGCGGTTTGCGGTGAGCTCGACACGACAGAACAGCGCAGTAAACAACGATCAAAGTTGAGAAGAAAACCACGTACATTGGTAGAGTGGAAAGGACACTCATGTTGACAGCGGGAAGTTCATCCGGGTCTGAGTCTGCCACATCCGGGTATGGAGCCACACGCTGTACGTGACGAGGCACTATCACAGGTAACTGTAGAACATATGAAACATTTTAAAAATTTTAGATTATTTAATCAATTCTGAAGCGTTTCCACAGTAACAGGAGTTTGAAATTCCCTGACTTTTCCCTAGCAAACGTAAATTTTTTTTTGACAAACGAATTAACAATTTCACAACGAATTTTGATAATGGCCTCCAACCTCTACCTATAATTTCATGCTTTCAGCGAGTTACAGCGAACATGAATTGATAGTTTCTTTAGGTTACATGGAAAAAGGATTGATTTTTCTTTGAACCTATTGTCAGCTTATCATTCAATTTCCTGTAGTTAAATTCTAACAATCCAACGCGTCTCATGTCTGTGAAATGTACTGAAGAATTCAAAATGTTCATCCTCGTTCCTGTGTTAATTCTGTCTTGTCTGATTGATTTTTATTTCAGCAAAATACATGTTTCCTTTCGATTGAGGGTAATTCTCTGTGACGCTAAAATAATTCCAAACGTCATAGAAACGGTTCTTTCAAAACACTTATCACTGCCAGAAACAGCAATGCTTTTGAATGAACGCAAGAACTTCATCCAAAACTTGATTTTCCAGAGCATCACTTCCCCTACTTACAGAAGGAAACTACGTATGTTCACTTCACCTAAGGTAAGCCTTTCAAATTTCAACCAATCGAGCCAATGAAAGCGAATAAAAGACAGTGATCCAACCTGATCTAGATTTACAGATAGTAGCCATCTTTGTTTGTGAAGGTTCTCTGGGGCCGTAATATTGAGGGGCTCTGGTTTGCTCCATGCCTGCTTGGGACAATCAGGCAACGGGACTGTTTCAATAGCCCCCAGCTGGGTAGCGTCCAGGACTTTTGAGTATTTATGGAGATGGTTACCTGAAAAGAAGCCAAAAAGGATCAAGAATAAAATTTCATGAAAACAAGGGATTCTTCATGATGAAGTCTCTTTAGAGAGAGTACAGTTTCAAGGCTGAGAAATTGATTAAGGGAAGCTGGGCAACTCAACTGCTAGACATTACGACAGTCAAGAGGTTAGCAATTGATCATATCAACACATATGTCCCAAAGCTTCTTCAGCTACGCAAATGTCCTCTTCGACATACCATCCATTCTCTCGGGGACAGATTCAGAATGTTTGGGGGGTCCACTGCTGAGGTCCTTCAGGACAGGAGACAAAACACGATTGGCAGTGAAGTCTATGAGCAGGTCCAACAACCAGAAACAGTCTAGGGATAAAATTAGAGTTACCAACTTAGTAAATGAAGTTCAGAATTCCCTCAAATTTCTCAGTACTACTCCTGTATTACTTGTAACATATTTTGCGAGTCTACTAGTTCGAAAATCAACATGTCGGTTCTTAAAAAGGGGAAGAAGCAAGGCTCAAAAAACATTTTGCTGAGCTGACAAGGCCGGCTGTACTTTCTAGAAAGTTGTGAATCGCTAACTCAGCTTCTAAGGCTTTACAAAGGTGATCAAGCTCGTACCTTTCTCCATATGTGCGTTGTCAAGGCAATTCGAATCACCATAAAGAACAATTCTTCCACTCTGAGGGCCTGGTACCTGGTAAAGCCCAAGAATTGCCACGTCCTCCTCAGCCTTAGTCTCCCCCGTTACGACCTCGTTTCCCTGATGATTCAATTTTTCTTTTATTACTAGACCGTCGTTTGGAAATGAGGCTATGCTTGTTCCGGACGAGTACAACACTGGAATGACATGAAAAGAGAAGTTGAACAAGTTTTTGGTTCATCTATGACTTCAAAAGCAACCAAGCTGAAAAAAATTTCAAACTGTCGAGCACTGAGATAGCTAACCCATAAACTCTTGTCTGGGATCAATACAAGTGATAAAAAATTTAAAAAAGAAAGGTATGGTACGACTTCTTTGTATAGTATTACAAACTGAACCGGATGATGGTTCAACCTTGAAAAGTAAAACGTTAACGAGCTCCTTTTGCTTCTTAACAGTGCGTCGAGGCGTGAACGACAGGTTTAAGTGGCAGAGAGCCAAAAATGGCCGCACAAAAATACTGGGAAAAACTACGATAACACAATACATCATTCATACACCTTGACCCGGTTGTTCAAAGGAAGGATAACTCTATCCAACCGATAAATTACTATCTAACGGATAAGCGTTAACAAAACGTACTGCGCTATCCACTGGATAGAGAATTATCCAGTGCATAGCGTCATCTGCCCTTCCAACAACCGGGGCCTGCACTTTACATGTATATTCCAAAGCTCAATGCTTATGTGAGCTAAATGAAATTCCTCACACGTCTGAGCAAATTAGAGATTTTTATGAAATAACCAAGACACTGCGTGCGCTGGATGAAAATCCATCGTTTATTGTACTAATAAACGCATAGTTACCTCATAAAAGTAATAAAAGCAATTTCTATCGGTTAACCCCTCCCCCTTCCCGGGGTAGAGAGTGTGGTTCATTGCTTTCACCAAATAGCTACGCGCTTCACGGTACAAGAAACAGCGGATTTCTGAATTAGCAGCACGTGCGTGGCAACTCAGATATTTCAAAAGATATCAGTACTCAGTGTATGATATTCACGGAGCCTCGCCTGTTCAAGAACCAACAGAAGGAGCCGTTGGAACAATATACCTTTATTGTCTCCGATGGTGAATTCTCCCTCGTACACTTGATCACTAAAAGCCATGTTCCAATGAGACAACAGTGAGTTGATAGCTGGTACATTAACTCCCCCGGTGTCCGGCATCCACCACTGTCTCGTGTTCTCATCGTAAAACTTGATCTTTCTCATAACAGGCACATTGAACCAGTCACCAACTACAATCACTGACAGGCCCCTCTCTTCCACATCCTCCCTCAGTTTGGTTACCTCTTCAGCAAAGTATTCCTCTTCGCTATCAACAAGGAGCAACGTGTCTGAAAGAAACAAGAACAGTTCTTAAGTTAGTTCCCATTTACGTTTGCAGCTCTGACATGCATGTTCTGAAAACATCGTAGGTCTGTCAGATGTTGACAGTTCACTTACTGTACTTAGTAGCATCAAAACATGTGAAAGGAGCACCAAGAACTTCCACGAAATATCCAGCGTTCCTGAGATGCATGTACATATCCTTAAAATTGGTGTGAATATGATCGCCATTCCTGAAAAAATTATAAGAGAAAAGCCTCACTCTAGTATACATAACACTGACATTGCACATCTAACCAAGTAATCATACAGATTAAGAACTTCCAGGATACCGTAAACTGTCGCTTATAAGCCCTGGGTTTATACTGTACAACTTCGTAAGGGGTTTTAGAGGGCTTAAAAAACGAAAGGGCTGATATTTAACATTTTCTGCTTGAATTAGTACAAATTAGATGGGGCTTATTTAGAAGCCCCCTGGTTTCAGACCCATCCTGCGGTAAACAAAAAATACATCGGATTATAAGTAGTCCGTATAAGTGGGGGAAGAGAGTTATAAGCGGCAGTCTACGGTACGTCAGATATACATATTCATGTAAGTTGGTTCCTTTAAGTGAATAAAATTCCTAGGTTAACCGATGCAACTTACTTGTATGCCATGCATTTTTATTTTTTTTTTTTCATCTGACCCAAAATTGTAAGCTCAATAACCACATCTGCATCACGACTTTACGCACCTGATGCACAGGTTACCCAATGTGGTTCTCACTCTTCTTTTAACTCCCCCTGTGAATATCCCAAATGCCTTTTCGCGCTCAGTTCAAACACTTACCAGTCTAACGGATCGTTTCTCATTTTCAGGTTGTCTCGGGGAAAATATCCTGACGGGTATCGAAGATTGTGAAATTGGTCCCACAACAATCGTTTGCTGCGCAAGGGTTGAAAACCAAAAAAAAAAAAACCAAAAAAAAACTCAACATCAAAACTAACAATTCAAATGATTATCTTAAGAGCAATATTCGGTTGAATGTCGAAAATAATCCGGCATATTGCCTCGGTTTTACTTTACTTTCTTCTGTGCTTGGTCCAAAAAATCGTGCCACCCTCTCAACCAATCAGGTGCAAAACTAAGGACAATCGCGACTTGGTCATTCGAGCTTTCCCGCGCTTCAAGCACTTTGCACTTTTCGCTATGAGTTCCTATTGGCTGATAAAATATGATCATTTGCTCTGATTGGTCCCTGGGATTACTTTGATTCTAGGGTTTTTGGACACTGTTCTATCTGCACCATTTGAAAAGAAGTACTAACGACCCAACCCCAACCATTCCGAACATTAAAATATCAATTCTCCTCATTGCCTGCTACCCTCTTCTTGCAGTGGTGCTTTGAGAATTTGGCGTTGCAGTGACTATATCTTCTCTTTTATAATTCTCTTTGTTTCAATTTTCTGTCCACTGAACAATATGTGTAAGTTGACATTGAATGAAAAAACGTTTTACTGGTCACATCTAGAAGAGATAGGTTAAAAAAAGAGAGAAGGAATCCGCATTTCGAGAGCAATACAGTTGAATTCTAAGGATGAACTATGGGAATTTAGCATTGTACACTTCTACGTACCTCCTTGGTGGGGTGGGTATAATTTTGACGCGAACTGGCAGTTTTATTGTAGATCGCCTGGGTTCTATGTCAGATTCCTGAAAACGAAACATTCAGGCAAACAGAACATTAATAGATAAAACAGATCTACGAAGGGGCGAATATTAGTTTTCCTAGTCGTTCTATGCTAAGGAAATCTGGATATGCTCTGGCCAGATGGGCCACTTAGCTTGAGTACATATTGTACTAATGTACCTTCCATTCAGTAATCACATCTCATGTGGCAATCCAAAATTGTAAATAAACAAACATAAAACCAGTGAAAACCTACCTGTGGTGGAGAAATGACTGTAAGTGAGACGTGACCTTGTGCTATGCCTTCCCATGATTCAGCTTTCTTGGCAGGTGTAATAACAACAGCCAGATATCCAGACCAAGGCCACAATACAGAAGAATATGAAAATTCAACCTGGAAGAAGTAAATCGCTTAATTAAAAATAAAACATGTGTTTCTTAGTTAATGCACACCGTCACGCAGATGTGTTCATCGTGTGACTTATAAAAACAAATTAAAATGTCGGTGTGTTTCGTCTCAGAGTATTATAAAGAAACAAACTAAGATAGCGACACACGTTACTTTACTCTGTGCAGCTTAAGATGCAAAATAAGGCAACAAGCCATGCCCCTTTGTCTACTGAAAAGAATAAACTGCAACTACATGTGCCTCTCTTCACCCAGGTGTATAAATGGCTACCGGTAATTTAATGCTGGGGGTAACCCTGCGATGGACTAGCATCCCATCCAGGGGGGAGTAGAAATACTCCTAGTCGCTTCATGCTACAGAAACCGGAGTTAAGCACCGGCCTAATGGGCCACTAGGCTCGTAAACAGACTTTTTTTTTACATGTGCAAATGTAGATCATAACCACCCCGGCATAGTTCTTACAATTGAAAGTCACTGGAGGATAACATCTCCACTGTTCGAAAAAATACCATACTGGCGAGACTTAAAGAAAGCTGCGAGGTTTTGAGAACAGTGCGTTGAAAGGGGAAACCGTCTTCCGATACATCACGTTTATTTGCTTTACTAAAGCCGATAAATCTTATATCTTTTTATCCCCCTATGAATGGCTAACATCCTCTTTCTCGTTACAATAACATCCCTAAATCAAACATCAAGGTCACCAGAATAATGAGAATGATGACCAACTAAAGACGTTGCGGATTATTAAACAAATTTTCCTTCTCAACGCCGTAGAAAATGTATAGAGATTATGCATACTAATTTTAGTATGTAATGGCTTTATACGGTACATCCACGGGTTGATTTTCCTTGCAGCTGACAATTTGGTACCAGACTCTTGTTAAGTTACTGTGTTCCTTAACGGCGTTTGGACCAAAACAAAAGATTCTCTAAATAGAAGGTTACAAGTATAGAATAATATAATGCAAGCTAAGTAAAAAGCACCAGTTACAATGGATTTGTGATCCCACCTGGATATAGTCGCCATTCTGTGGTAAATAAGGATGCCACGTTGGCTGTTGAAAGTGAAACAATATAGTTTGTTGAACTGGAATAAGAATATCGTAACAATTTGGCTTTTCTCTCACATGGGAGAGAGAAAATATCTATAAGTAAGTCATATTCACCGAATCAAAATATGGCGTCCAATTTTAATTGCCATCGTTCTGGACTCACTAACCTCGTCTTCACCAGGAAACACAAAAGGATTTTCACATGTGTGAAAGGCTAGTGATTCCAGTTCAATTCCAATTCCAATTGGACACCATATCTCGATTCGGTGTATGACAGGAATAAAAATAAAAAGAAGCAAACACACAAAGGTTGATATGCGACAATGAAGAGTAAAATAACTTACTTTCCCTTCGATTTGCCCAGTAACACCCATTCCATTCAAAATGGTAATCTGTTGAAGTAAAAAAAACCCACAATGTTTGTCACCCAAATAACTTTCATCGACAACGACATCCAGTAAGACTTTAAAACCAGACACTTTTAAAAAGGTTACCAGGTACTTACATTAACAATGGTAGGCATTCCACCATAGTATAAGGGTTGTGTACAGTATGGCCACATGTACGGACACTCAGTCAAGTCTATGTAAGCTGGGCTTAAACTGCAAGTTTAATAAATAATTACAGAAACTCAGAATTTCATGTTTAAAATAAACAGCACGAAAAGTTGACAAATATCACAAACTTCAGACACAGGATAGTTTCGGGCCTACAAATAGAAGGTTTCTCTTTACATTTGTTTGTTTGCCTGCTTTTTGCAAAAGGTATTTAATCGATGATCTTTCGCGCGTTAATTCGTGAATCTGAAGAACGTCAGCCCAAATTTTCAATTTTTTTCCAGGGACTAACTGCCTTAATTTTCTCCAAACTTCATTCCAGTCCCCCGCCGTATTAGCCATTTAGCGTTTGCCTGTCCTGCCAAAGTAATAGGGACCTTACGCAACCACGACGGCGACGGCAACAAGGACGTGGAAAAACAAGAGATCTAATTGGCAGAACAATAGCTCAGCCCGTGCGTTTTGAAACTTTGTACATTTCTTAGCCGTCCTATGCAAAACAACAACGTGAAATCGCCAATAATTGCGTCGTCTGCGAACCGAAACCGCGACGCCAAATTATTTTAATTTCCATTTGGAACTCAACGCTACTTCTATACGTCATGCTGAAGTTGAGCTGTGGCGCCGTATAAGACAGTAAGCTCCTGCAACCATTTTTGAAATTCTAACTAAGAGTAGAAATTCATTTTTTAATTGAAGTCTTCCTTGGCGTTGCCGTCCTGATTGCGTAAGGTCCCTAATATTTTAAGTAACATTCCTTCCAGTAACTTGGCATGTTCAAAAACGTAATACAGTAATTCCACGATTCTCTCGAGGAAAAAGGCGAAACCGGTTCCTTGCATTTGAGGTGTTATGTACACGTATGAGTTATCTTTTGAAATACTTTCAAATAACCAGGTTTCCTGTGACGATACAATAAACCTAGATTCACCTGGCCTGTGGTTTGTAATTGCTCAGAATTTGATAGGCTTTAATGAGATCGAGCTTGCCCTGACCTGGAATAAAAATAGTGAACAGTAAGATCAAGGTAGCATAGATGGCGCAGCGGTAGGAGCGTTTGTCCCCCTATCGTTGGGGCCTGGGTTCGATTTCCGGACGTAACATCACATGTGGGCCAAGACACAAAATAATTGTTGGTTCCCGTTCCTCCTCCACTATTTTTTCCAGTTTCTATGGTTTTCACCCTCTACAAGAAAACAAAAATCCTAATTCCAATTTCGACGTTGAAAACCGTGGACAAAGAGTCACCCGATGATAGTTGCTAGTGCTTAAATCCAACTGATTTAAATACCAATATTTATCTACAATTGCAAATTTCACTTTAACGTTCACCTTGTTCAAATATGTTAAATCCAGGTAGACGGCGAGCTGAAGCCATGAGAGCCTGCTTGACACTTGCTGGGTTGACACTGTTTCCACGATGTTTAACAGCACTGAAAATGAAGAAAACAAAATGTCACTGTAAATGAACTGTCAGTCCTTAGTCGTCACTTGTGATCGGATACGGGCACAGTAAGAGGTGTTGAACGTGAAGCCTGATCGTCCTGATAAGAGTAGCCCTGGTGACGACTATAATGATGACTTTTGTTAAGGGAGGGATGAGAGAGGTTGTTGAACCGTCAGTCTATAGTTATTAATAACTGACAACATTTCTTTTCAGGACTACTCTCATCGGGGCGATCTTGCTTCATGATCATGTAGTGACACCAAATGTTTCTCCAGTGAATAACGAGCAGTTGATCAAATGAAGACAACTTGCAATATGCCTTTTGGATTTTCTGGATTTACCTGAGTAAAAGAGAGACTGCTCCTGCCACAACTGGCGACGCCACACTTGTTCCCGATAATGAACGGCATCCACCTCTGATGATTGTGTCAAAAGCAAACAATGACTTGTTTCAAGTCTCATAGAGGGTCTTAGTAATGTAAGGACGAGTTGGCTACAGCTGTTAGTCCATGAAGTCGATACAGTAGCTAACAGCTACTCAGCCAGCCTATAGTCTTGTAGGCTTGGACCCATGTTATTTTCCTACCCACTTGACTTTTATTACATGAGTGTTGCAAATTTTGCAACAAGTCAAAAAGCTGGTTTCATTACGAGCTAACAATTCAAGTAGCCATATCAAAAGTCAGTAACGGGGTAAGGGTGTACATGTTTGTTCCATCACAAAATATTTGCAAAGTTAGAAACTTGGAATGCTACTGTATCTTACACATTCTCAAGTATGCAATGCAGTATGACTTTCCGTTTTATGGCTAGGTGAAAAAAAAAACGCACTTACAAGAATTCGATTGAACGCATACTAATGAAACAATATCATGAGAAATCCACGAGAAGCAAATAAAACGTCCTGCAGGTCAAATGTTCATGTGATAAACTGGAGGAATCCACTCACTTGAGGCTTGATCCCCGCACCCCTGAACCGTAAGTAACAACATCTGGTTTGACTCGACCATATCCCCCTGGTAGTTCCTAAAGGTCAAAACCGAAAAAGGGATAGGTTAATTGATAACATTGAAAATCCTCCTAACGTACACCTGTACAGGTAGGTGAACTTGAACTTTTCCTTACCCAGGTTGTCATTCCTCGGGACGAAAAACGTGCAATATGGTCTTCAAAGTTGATACCACCAACTCCGATAACATCCATCTGATCAGCGGGATTGTTCAACGTTCTATCATCCAAACATAAACACAAAAAAATGTAATTTGATTTAAGACAACATGTCTAATACCATCCACATCCTGCAAACAAGTAGTTCTCATAACAGTGATTTCGCGGATAAAGGAGTGGGATCCTAACGGAGTTGGAACTGGTACAGGATAGTCAAGGTAGAGGATGTTATGCAACAATGTAACACCTATCCTGCATTGTGCAATTCTCATTTGATGAAAGATACAGTTGGCTTCGGATAACTCAAACCTTTGCTGATATTATTCACCTCCTGGATTTCTGTCATAAATTTACAAAACTGTAATTCTACCTTCTCCCAATTGGAATCAATATTCACCTAACTTCAAATCATTTTATACATACATGCATGCACAGTAAAAGTTTGTCGTTTCTTACCCATAAAGGGGCCCATCATTACCAATGGCAGAAACCATTACAACACCATTTGCAGTGAGCTCCCAGACCTAAGAGAAAGATTACAAAGCAAAAATTACTTTTTCAGAGAAGCTGTTTTCCAAAACCTCCAGATGATCTTGAAAACATAAGTACATGTACACTACACTTACTTAATAATAAGGATTTTTTTGCAACCGAAACACAGGCACTAAATAAAGAGTGTAATGAAGTTGAAGGGATTACATGTTCGTTAGGCCTACAAATTCTAATGTCTGGAAATTTTTCATGAATTACATCTCTCTCAGATTCTGAATCAAACGTTTATAAACAACTCGAAGTAATTACTGCATGTAGAGACATCATCTTGCAATTATTCTTTACAGAAGAACATACATGTACACCTGAAGAATTTTTAAATACAGGTGAGGAACTGTTGTTTACACACAAGTACTTGCACATGAATACCGGTACAGGTCCAGCTTTAGAACAAACCTTGTCCACAAAAGGCTGGTCCATGAAATCAGGGCCCCCAATGCTCAGGTTCAGAACACTGACTTTTTTCAGGATTGCATAGTTGAAGGCATCCAGAAACCAAGATGTATATGATACCTAATTGTGCAGATTAAACACACAGAAAAAAGTGGTTTTACATTTGCAAATAACAATTGAACGAAAAACACCTCTGCATGTAACAAACCACTGCATGCCATGACCATAACCTGCTGGTCTTTACCTGACTATTGGTAAAAACTCTGAAGATGTGAAGCTCTGCATCAGGGGCAAACCCCAGACATTCTCGTGAACTTGCCACAACACCAGCAACAAAGGTTCCATGGCCCAGACCTGCAAAAGAAAAAAAAAATATTAGCTTCTCTTAAGGCAAAGATCTTTCCATGTGTCTAAATAAGGTTGGGTTAAACACTGTCAAACATTTCACAGCTCTCCTGTATTTAGCTTAGCTTTAATTTCTGTAGTAGTGTGTTGCGTATAAATTTGGTTAGAATTTCTCTAGTTGAACCTTGAGGTCCAATTGCCATGGTCAAAAGAAGCACTCTTCCTGTCTTTCTTTAAAACAGCAAACAAGAAAATTTATTAAAGATCAGAACCATTAATCTTAACCAGGCTAGCAATATCACCCCTGAATCACATATTAAAGTTATAAGAATACAGAATTATAATAGGAATCATCAACCAAAGACATTCTGTTCCCAGTCATTCAAAGAGTGGATATAAATGCCATCCACTGGATAAGTTGCTATCTGGTGAATAGTGCAGTACATTTTGCAAACACTTATAAACTGGAAAGGGATTTATCCGTTGGATAAAGTTGCCCATCCTTTGAACAACTGGGCCCTTGACTGTTAAACAATTTCTCCTTGTCAGCACCCCAGTGAGCAAATACGGAACAGTATGGAGAATATGAAGACTGATCTAAGGGTATAAAGGGGTTGGCAAATTTTTCCTTATCCCTTTCACCCCTAAGAGTGACCAGCATCTAATTTCTCCTTACAATATCACCCCTGAATCACACATGAAGGTTAGGAGAAAAATGAAAATGATCATCAACCACTGTTACTCTGTTTGATAAGCAACTTCTCCTTGTCAGCACCTTAGGAAATGTATAGAGAACAGTATGGAGAATATGCATACTGATGTTAGGGTGGAAAGGTCCTTAGGAATTGTATAGAGAAGAGTATGGATAATATGCATACTGATGTCAGGGTGTAAAGGGTTCATTATTATAACCATCATCAATAATGTGCTCATATTAAAAGCCATGATAAATTTGATGCTAATCCTTCTTTACACTAACGGGATTGAAAGCAGGTTTAAAAATAATAACAGAAAAAAAAAAAAAAAGAGCTGAGCATATTAACAAACACACACACTCACACACACACACACATATATATATCTACAGAGGAACAAAAAAATGAGCAAAAGACAATTATTTCTGATCTTACCATCATCAAGGGTCTTTTCCTCTGTCCAGTTTGTTCTGTCCATGACCTTTCTAAAGTGAGGGTGATTCTTTGGCAGACCTGTGTCAAAAATGGCTACCTTCACACCATCACCTTAAAAAGAATCCTTGTCAACAATAAGCCTAGTTAATGTACGTTTTATCGTAAATAAAAACTTACTGTCATAACTTTGAACAATCTACACAGTTTTGAAGCAATGCTCAAGACATAACCAGTTCCCCTTCAGAGCTACATGTAATTATTAAACACTGGATCATTGGATAATGCAATTCAATACTTTTTATTGGTTTAGCCATTATCGTATATGAACCAATATACCATAATTAATATCTGTACATTGTAACATCCGGTTTCTTCTTACAAAATAAAGTCCAGAAGATTTGTCTAATATCCTGGAGAGTGTTTTTTTAATAAAACAATTATTTCACAAGCGTGCGTTGGATATGAGATGATTATAGCCAATGAGGCACTACGCGCCTCGTTGGCTATCTATCATCTCATATCCAACGAGCACTCGTGGAATAATTGTTAATTAGCAGGGTTGTGATCTAACAGCTCCCGATGGCCCCTGGCACCCTACTTTTGCTCTTGGGCGACTTGAGAATTTTAGTTTTTTCACATAAAAACATGTGCTGGGCACCCTGTATTTCAAAGTTTAAGAGCACTAGGCTCCCTTCAGTTTTTCTTAAAGCAAAGCCTTGATTATGCAACAACTTTCAATACCTGTGTGACCCATACTCCAAAGCACATCAGCCTGCAGCACATGAACAATCTGGAATGAAACACACAACAAAAAGGGGATGCCAGCTTGTGAGTGAACAAAAGCAAACAAATAGTATACAGCATAAGTAAACACTGTGAGAAATTACAGTAAACAAAATAAACAACACAATAACAACAGAACAAGAAAATATTTATCTATGCATGTAAATGTACCAACTTGTAGCACATGTCCAATTGACTTGTGAAGTCTACACTGTACATTGTGGTTCATTTTTTTTTTCTTTGATAGCAATTCTCTCAAAAAATTGACATAATTATATCCTTTAAAACAAACATACAAAATCATAAATTTAACGAGTGTAAAAATTTTCAAGCTGAGACAAAATTTGAACCACCCTAAGGGTGAAATTTAATGTCTAAGAACACAATACAGTTGGCCCCTTCAAGAGCTCAATTGCAAGATCCTTTGAACTGACCATAACATCTGCAGTGAGAATGTTTAGATACATGCATCATAATTATTTACATGTACATCTGAGTATAGATCGTTATAACCTGTCTAGGAACGGATCTGAGGATTCTTCTACCAGGATTGTGACGAAGCTGAGATTGAATAAGGCTGTGACTCTGAAAAGATTTAATTTGTTAAAAAATCAAATTTATATTCATTTTTGGCTCTGTCTCTATACACTGCATTCCTAAGCAAATTGTCAAGATACAACACTTGAGACTGAAACTCACCAATGCTAAACTGGAACGGGTTGTCCTCCTGTCCAAAATAAATCACATTGATACCAGTAGATTAATTCAAATGCATGATAATGTGTAAGGCATGTTTTGAAAGAGAGAAGAAATAAAATGCATTTTCGAAAAAGCTATTAATTCTATCAATAATAATTATTAATTACAATTATTATTAATTATTAATTCTGTTATTGTATAAAAATGTGAATGCACCTTGCACTCCACACCTGTGACCAACAACCAACATCCTGCTCGGCACAGTCTGCATCTGCATCCCGTTCACTTTCTTTCTTCAGTTCATCTTCTTTCACTTAGAGGGAAGATCAAAAGCAGATTTTTAAGGGTACATGTAAATACATTGTGCATGTCTTATGTCCTTACAAGTATTTATTACACAACTCGGGCAGTCAGAGGGCCAATAACTAAAATCAACCAATCAAAATGCTCTATTGCCGGTCCAATATTCTCTAAGTGTTGGACCGGGCACTGTCCCGAATGGTCCCGAATGATACCGCACTTGTGTCCCTTTGAACTTCAGTCGTATAATAAATCTATTATTAACCAAGCTTGCTCAGGACCGTAATGGAAGAAAATTGGCCCTCGGTCTTTTTTGTACGGACCGAGCGCAGCTCGGTCCGTACTGTCAAAACCTTGGGCCAATATTCTCCCAGTACGGCCCTCGCGCTTGGTTAATAAGATATATATATACATGTATGTGAATTGTATGAAAAAACCTGTTTAAAAGCTGATTACAAGGGAAGTGATTCATTGGCAAGATTTACTGGCTTCCTTTTTTTGGACACACAAGCAGGACCTGAATGTTCATGTACAGTTTGCATGACACCGGGTAAAAAGTCAGCAAATTGCTTTACTTACCTTCTATGCTCTTGAGAAACCTTTCGACTCTCTTTTGTGGTGTAACACTTCTGACCTTAGGATGTCTCTTTAGTGAATCAACACCACTGCTTGTGTCTCCTTTCAACTGTTGATAACAAGTTAAACTGTGTGTCGGAAAGATTAAAATCATTGCCCTAAAATACACTTTGAAATGAACTTTGAGCGTACCAAAACAAGACAAAAGAATTTCCATTAATCAATTTTTCACTTAACTTGAAGCTTCTTGCAGTGCCCTTTGTTGTATTTAAGAGATAAAATATCCTCAGCTAACAGCATGCAATTTCATTATGCTAACTCCACATAACCTCAAAACTGCAATCAGAATCCTCAAAAGATGTTTAAGCAACTTGATCTCTCAATTCTCAATTCTCCATACTCAATACTATAACCTTAAGCCTCGATTCTCAATCCTCAATAGTTCCAAGTGTCAAAGATACAGTTTCGAGTCATACTGTCTACTTACTTTTAAGTGGTAATGTAAGAATCCACTGTTTTAACTCTTTCATTGGCAAACATATGAATTCGTACGCTCTGACTCTATCCATACTAAAAACCTCAGGGGACCCCCAGATAGTATTGTTTTGAGTTCGTAAAGATTATTATGGTTTGTCAAGTCACGTTCCTTCATTCATAGCTGTATTTCTCGCTGTTTATAGCTAAATTTGACCGTTTTTTTGCGAAAAAAATTTGCTCATGCAGTACTATCCTTTTAAAAATGGCGTCTGCATGGATTTCAGTCGAGGAGGCACAGCGAATTGTGTTAGAGGACAATCCTAAAGACGTTTTCTTTTGAGGGAAAAGGACACTATTTAGACTTGTGAACTGTATCTTTGAATGTACGTCAAGTATTTCAGACTGCTTTTTTCCTATGCCTACACTCCTGAAGGTTGCTATGGATTGTAATTTTTTTTATAAGAACAGAACCATTTTTACCTTATTGTCCATTTATGGTTCTTTTTGTCCTTTGTGGTTACTTTTTTGGTGATTTCAAGTGAAGCTAGCTAGTTGTTACTCATGTATAGTTCTGCAATATCACATATCCTCTAATTTTTGAAAATTACTAAGCCACACCCAGATGAACAGTAAAAGGCATAACTTTGGTTGCAATCAAGATAATTGGATGGAATAAAAAGTGTTTGGTTCCTGAAATAATACACTTTTGCATAATGCAAAAGTTATGCTCACACATATGTTGATGCCTTGTCTTAGTAGAGCAGGAAAAACAACATACTCTTCTAACATTTTGTTATGCTTGGCTTTTCTTGCCCCAAATTATGTGCACAAGGACCCTTATGTAACAAAATAGTCTTAAAATGATGGTAAATTTTCTGCTGATTAAAATGATATATAGTTTGTTGGGGTTGAATTTAAAATGTGATGAGCTGTGGCCTGATTTGGCGGATTACATCATAGAAAAATATTGCGTCCCCAGGAACCTGCCAGCGAAAGGTTTAACCTTGCCCTCTGACATACAATGTACACGAGTAAGATTTCATTGTTTAAGAGACACTGGCTTCAGTAGATGCAGCAGCTGGTTTAATATTGAAAAATAAATATGAAAACAACAAATCTTTCATAGTAAGAGAATTATTTATGGACTTCATATATCCATACCTTTACAAGAGAGAAGTCACTTGGGTAGTCACTGGCAGGATTATGCCGAGGGATAATTTTCCAGGAATTATCAGAGGACAATGCGAGGGCTGACATGACATATCCATCCCTGGCTGAAGTGGTGTAGTATCCATTGAAAACAACTATGTATTCTAGAAAAATTACAAAATTGTTATTAAAAGATAAAAAAAGCTAAATTGATGTCAGAAATACATGTTAATAGTGTTAAGCTAATGAGAAGAAACAAAATATACAGTGTCTACTGTACCAGAGTTAATAGCAAATTCTCTGAGCTAAAATTGTTATGTGTGGAAAACGAATGAATGAATGAATGAATGAATGAAGCCTTTATTTAAAGAGGGTACCACTTAATAGCCAAAGGCTAATAAACTTGTGGCCCTCATAAAGAGAGTTGATATTCAGATCTTCCAGGGCTCGACACTAACTTTTCAACTTACTAGCCAAGTGGCTAGTGACATCTTAGATGTTTTTAGATGTTACGACAATTTCAGTCTGTTTACTAGGCAAACTGGCTAGTGGAAATTGAAAACCACTAGCCAAAACTGAATTTATACTAGTCTGTGGCTAGTGGGCTACCGTTAGTTTCGAGCCCTGTCTTCTGAGTGAAATGGCTAAAACAAGCATAGCCATATGAACACTCTGATAGTACAATTTCAATCACTTCAACAATAAATTCCTCATCATTCCCTCATTATTTTTTAGACAATTTATTGAAACTTACAAATATTTGGCATTTTGTTTTGTTTTCTCCATTGTCAACAAAAAAGAAAATTAAAGAGTGTGGCAGCATTGGATTTGATTAAAATCCCTACTAAACTAATTAATCCATATGAAGAGCTTAGACTGTCTGCTACTTCTAAAATATGTGCTTGAATTTCAAAACACGTCATTTCTTTTAGAAGGGAAATGCTCATTCAATTTCTATATTTGTAATACTACAGTGTATGTAGCTCCACCACCTATCATGTTAGAAGAGCAGAGAAATTAACCTTACATCTGGTTCTGTGGTTTAATCTGATAATATAGGAGACGTCTCTTACGATAATTATTGTAATAGTAACAAAGTACTTTTTCGCAGAGGGAAAAGCTTAAATAAGTAAATTAGCTGACATTATATTTAGGCAAGATTCACAACTGATAATTTTACACCAGGGAAATTTCTCTATTAACTAATGAAGTTCTTAAATCACACTTGTAAATGTTCGATTGGTCTGTGTTATTTTGTAAGGGCAAACACTGTAAAATAAGTCAGAGGCTTCGCACCAACTTATGACTTTGATGCAAAATCATTTTAACAACCTCTTCATCATGATTTCATCACTCCGCTAAAAGCTATGCACTAAAGCTTAATGCTCAGATATCTCTGTCTCAAGTTAAAGTATTCTTATCGAAGTGATAAAACAACCTTTAAAAACAAACGGAGGTAACGTGCCTATTGAATCCACACAGCAAAGAGCCATTTACGTAACTATAAGAATTACAAGTCTACATCCACACATCTTGTTTACAAAAAGAAACTTTCGATCTAAGTAACTCAGATGATAAACTCACCGTTTTCGACAACGGAGGTCTTGTAATTGAAAAAGGATTCTCTTGCGACGGAAGGCGAGGAGGAATTACGAGTGCAGTTTTCGAACGGTGTTTCATCAGACGAGTTCACAAGAAGGCATGAAAGCCAAAACAACACCCAATCGCGTCGCCATCGACAGCCATGCTTCTTTCCCGAGGCAGACATGGGCCTAAAGTAACATTCATTAATCTTCTGCTAAAGCCAGTCCATGTCAGTGGAGAAAAAGCGGAAAGAAATCGATGATTCAAGAAACAACTGACTTCTAATCATATGCTCCTTACAAAACATGAAATGGCTTTGGAGTTAATCATGTGACGGTGAGATCGAGCTGTGATTGGCTCAATGTCCCGGCGCACGGAAACAAACTGACCTTGTGAGGAATGTAATCGACCATTCAATAGCTTTATGGAGAAGTTATTGCTATTGGTAACTTAAAATTTTTCATGTTGGGGAAGACATAGAGAGGTCAGTTGAATTCGACATGCACACACAAGATAAGCACAACTGGGCAATTGGATTATTTACCGGTCGTGCCTAAAGAGAATTCAACAAAAAAGAAAAAGAGGGGAATAAAACTGAGATAAAACTCGATCGCATTGAAGGATTGGTAGAATTAACTGCAAATAATAGAGGATGAAGAAATTTCGGTGAGACTGTACTCAAAGCTGGGATGAAAGACATACAAGTGATATTGTAGTTGGAAAAAAAACGAATAATTTTTGAGACACTACAGTCCAAGAGTAGTGGTCAGCGGTGTCCAACAGAAAAGTCGAGGGCAAGTTGAGAGGGCGGGGAGGAGTACGCTGCCCATACACCCCAATCTTCCTAAGCTTTCATGTGTCCAAGCACCTGGTTTTCCCTTAAGCTATGGACATCCCTGGCAATTTCAATTTTTCATTTCTAGTACTTCGGAACTTATCAAGGCTGCTGAAAAACCAAAAATAAAAGGCTTTCGCTGAAACGCAAGCGGATACAAGCACGTTACACAGCGATGTCGTTATACATCAATCTACTATAAACAACTCATAAATATAGAAATTAATGAGCCCTATCCCCTCCGGTTATAAATTTAATGTGCATTATAGTTAGTTTAGCGAAACTCCTGACACTGACGTTCTTGACCTTGTAAAATGGAAACCAGTAGTCTATATTTACAAGCGAAGGCTTGCTTCCATAATGTACCAGGTCTATCATAATAGCTTACCTGATCGATTCGCAGCTCTATTTGAAACACGCAACAGCAATAATTCTTATAGTCTAATGCGTATAAATCATTTCTCACATGAGGTACGGTATAATAGCAACATTGGCAGAAATAGTGTAAGCTACAGAGGAGGATCCATTGTTTGAAATTTAATCCCTAAAGCCAACAAGGATTACGGCTTCCTCCAATTAACTTTTTAAACGAAAACTTAGACAGGCCTCGAATATAATAGACCAAATTCAATTCGAAAAAGAGGCCTGTATGGTAACATCAAAACAATCAGATTTCTTATACTTTTAGTTTTTATTTTTAGAAATTTTATTAATTAGATTTAAGGTTTTTATATTTAAGACTGTGCGTAAATATGGATTTTAATTGAGTTACTGGCAGGTCCACACCAGCCTTTAGGTTGCCGCAAACCGACCTGCCTTAATAAAAAGTATATGTATGTATGTATGTATGTAGTATGTGTGTATATATGTAGGTATATACGTATGTATATGTTTGTGGAGGAAAGAAACAAATAAACTACGCTTTCATCCCGACAAGCCTGTTTCGTGGTTGCCCACCCATTAGGGGATTTAATAAGAATATTCTTTACCATCACTTCTTACATACAAAATAATTTACATAATAACAATAATAAACATAGATCTAATCTATGCGACGCGAGGTTTAACAGTTCAGCTGTTGCGTATGAGGGCTTTGTTTCTATGGCGGAAAGAAGACACGAGTTCATTATTACGTTTGTTGAGTGTAGAAAGTTTCGGTCGGTAAATGATTAGAGACTTTTCCTTTAGGCAGCGGTTGCATCTTTTGCTTGAGCTGTTGAACGGTGAATGCGTAGACAGGATGCGCCATGAAATATAGTGTTCGATGTTGTTGTCTTTGAGAGTCCAGATGTACTTGCTTAGTTCAGGTGAGTTTCTGTGTTTAGAGTGGCGGAATGATGCGGTATGGTTTCGGTATCTTGTTTTGAAGTCGTTTTCCTTGAGTCTGATGTATTTGTCTGTTGTGTTGTCAGTTATCGTTGCGTGTGACTGTAGCTTGGTAGATGACTGACGATTGTAGGCAGTTTCCTTCGAGTGGGCATGTGTTCTTTTGCCGGCAGTTGCATGTCTTCAAGTTCTTGTCTTGAGTGGTATTAGGGTTAGCTGTGGCGGTGTCGTTGGCTTGCGTGTATGGCTTTAGAATCTGCTTATTGTGGTTATCAATTATCTGTTTGGCGTTATTCATGCAGCTGTATCTTATTTTTATGGTGTTTCGGTTGAAGATTTTTCGGAGCTTGTTATCTTTAGGGAAGTGCTTGTCTATTAGGGCGAGGAACTTGTATCCGCTGTTAGTACTGGTGTTTTTGCTAAATGGAGGGGATGTACCAGATGGTGTAGTTGCGTTGTCTGTTTTTCCGTCTGTTTGTTGTTGGAGGTTCATACTGTAGTGTGTAGTGGTATCCGCTTTCGTCGATTGCTATCTGGTATGGAGGGACGGCTTGGTCAAAGGATGCTCTGTCGGAAGATAGGGAAGAAAGGCTTTTGTTGATGCCGGCGGGAATGTTCTTTGTAGTGATGGGCGGGTGCTTGCTCTCGCGTTAGACGTATTGAAGTTCGGTGTTCGGTTTAGTGAAGGGCTGATAGGTGCTTTGGTTGAGGTTAAATGTGACTTCTAGGAAGTTAATGATTTGTTTGTTAGCTTCTATGGTGATGCGTAGTCCGTTATTATTAAAGATGCGGCATATTTCTTTCTGTATGTGTGTCCGTATCGCATTGTGGCGTACGAAGATGCCGAAGTAACATAATTTTTCATTGCTGAGGTAAAATAAATATAAAGCTTAACTTCAGTGGCTTGTGAAGAGGTCTGTCTTATGTATTTACAAATCATAATATACACCACCA